CTCCTGGTTGAGAAAATAAGCATCTGTTTTATTTCCATCCCAGCTCTCTAAACATGAAGAAAAGAGGGACTCAGTTAACAGCTTCCTACAAAGTACCTGTGTAATTGCCTCAGGTGTAGACAATTTTCTAGTGAATCATGCATGAATGCTCTTGGCCAATAAGTATCAAAACTAAGATCTAAAAATCAACTCTCACAGAAATAAATGCAATTTATGTTCTAATTACTGCCACTAAGGGACTGGATTGCACCCTTTATAATACCAATTTAATCAAAAATTGAAATGAGGAAATATAACTATTACAGGAAAATACAAAGTTGTTTTTCTGACACTGAGTGATTGTTTAATTCACTGCTTGGCTTATTAGCTCACACTTAGGACTTCAGAAAGCCGTTTTGAGAAAGGAACTTTCATTGGCTCTGCCACCTACTGAGTCATGGTCATATCTGCAGTCATGGATAACAGGTAAAGGATAGCAAAGTCAATTACAGAATTCTATTTCTTTACTTAGGCACTTAAACTAGGTGCATATTCATATTCACTCCGCATGACAGTTTTCCAGCACTAATCACAACTTTTACTAAATTTTAAACTAAATTTTGCATTTTTAATGTCTCACACATGGGTATCTACACATGGATCCAATGGCAGAGCAGGCAGACCACTAAAATGTCTATTATTACAGATGTTATCACTGTCCCTAACACATTTAATATTCTGTCCATTTCAATACTTAGATTTCATTTATTTGAGTTGTTTTCAAAATGTAGCAAGCAATATCCTCTAATAGTATATTTTGAATTACGTTATGCGATCTGACCTTTTGCAATAGAAAATCTTTCCTTTTTTTCCTCTCATCTAAGAATATTGCTAAAATAACATTTGTCTTAGAGACAAGATGCTGCTGATTCAGTAGAACTGGACATGGTGAAACCCTATCTCAAATCCTGCTGATCTCCCACATACAAGATTTAGACCCATAGTAGTAGACCAGTGAAGAGAAAAGCTGCTGTGGTAATGAGGAATTGAAATCCTATCATAAGCTGCCTACCATATAAATGCAAAAGAAAAAAAAAAATGGGGGGGGGTTCCTTTAGTAGAGCAAACTCTGGAAGATTATCTAATTACTAATTTTTTAGATGCAAGTAAACCCTGGCCAAAAGTATGATAGGAACCAATAAAGCAGAGATGAATTAGCATCCAAGGATATTTCTTGCAATTAATGAACTTCCTAGATGTAGCTTAGACATTTACCTGAAGTTGAGCTGATTCGTTCTTTAAGCTTCAAAGCATAATAGATGTATTTTCTCCAATAGTAGCTAAAACACATTTTACCTTGGGCACCAAAACAAAGTTGTTTTAATGCAGACATGAATCTCACTTAGACTGTCACTTTGAAAGCTATCATTTTTTGTCCTGTAAGTAACAGACTATCCAGGGGAGAATTAAATATCTTTAGCTGATACTAAAATGTTTCAACTTATCAACTAATTGTTTTACCCACTTATTCATATACTTAAAATTTTTGAAACCACTGGAGGATTATCTGGGGGGAAAAAAAGCACTTGTAAAAATTAACAAATACAATTTTTTTCATCCTGTTAGAACATCTAATATTGAAGATAGTTGTTTTTTCCACCCTGTAGCAGTGATTTAGCATCTATTGTAAAAGAAAGCATGACTCTTTAGAAGCTGAAAAAAAATAAATCAAAGATTATATGAAAAATACTCCTTTTATCATTGCAGTACTTCTGAGGTATCACGTATCATTGTAAAGAAATCATCTCACTTCCAATGAGTTCAGAAACACGCACTGAAAAAAAGTCAGTGCTTTCAGAAAGCATTAAAATTAAATATTAACGACTGGTTACACTGGAAGCTCTTTGAGATATGTTAATTCATAGCAAGTCACATTTTTTCTTGACACGTGGTGTACTATCTTAACTCAATGAATATTCATTAGAATTTACAGTCCTCTACTCTTTATTCCACTGCATTAAACATCCTCTTTTTCCCCCCCACAAGACCTAAGAATAACCTGCTTCTTCTGTTGGCTAAAATCATGGACAGATTATATACAGTATTACATTAACAGAAACAAATCATTAACAAAGGACTGACTGTAGATAGAAGTCCTACAGTTGCTGCAGTTGCATTTTGTTCTTTTAATGGGATGAATTCCCAAAATATAATTGCAAAACAAGCTTATAGACCAACATTACTGTGATGCTATGTTATGGCAAAAAGAAATGCCTGTTTTTGTTGTGGCAGCATGATCTTACACTGAAGAGAATTGCCAAAAATTTGTCAACCTTACTCAGTTTACTGAGCTTTGGCAATCTTGTTGAACTACATTGCAAAAGAGGTTGAGTTTAGGGAAACAACATCTTCAGCAACTGATAGATTAGAGACCGAGCATACGATTTGTGCCTCCTTTGACTTTCCAGTTTTATCATGATGTATAGCAAATAGAACTTGGGCTGACTTCAGAGGTTTGCTATTCAGAGAATTTTCTAATGACCTATCATTTGTGCGCATGTCTTCCCAACTTGCTAAGGTCAGTATGCCTGAGGAAAGGAAAAATGACAGGAGCTATGGCTAAAGGAGAAAACTTTTGGCCTAAAGCTGCAGAATTTCATTTGAAAGCCATCTATATAAATGCAAAAAAAAGACATGCAGCCTGATTATTCCTGCACACTTGACAGTGACTAGAGGCAAGGAGGCCTTCAGGTACATAGTGAATAATAAATGACCCTTCATGGTGTGTGTCAAAGGAATGGAAAGAGCAGCATCTCAATTCATGTACATTTTTTAGTAATAACATGAGGCTTTGTGCCAACTGAGATTTTGGCCTACAGCATCTACTATGGAAAATTATAGTTCCAACACCTACAGGATGCTCATGCATTTTTTTGTCCAGTGTCCTCACACTACCACCAAACTTTTTCCACTGAAAATGAAAGAAATCAGATTAAATTTCCAAAAAGCACACCTCTATAGTATTAAAAAAAAAAAAAAAGAGTACTGCATTGCTTCTAACTTCTAACTGTATGAAGTGTTATAATTAGATCCTATGGTACATACACTAAGTAGGTTACTGTTACTGCTCTGTATCCTGCTCCAGTGGAATCAGCAGAATTTATTTTAAAACTAACATCTGTCAGTCATGCAGAGATAAGCAACTGATGCAGTAGACAGTCAAGCAAGGAACAGTACCGTAGTTGTCACAAGCAGATGAACATGTGTAGAACTTGTAGAGAAAGAAACTAATTAATAGTGTTCCTGCTTCCTTAAGGCAATCATTGTAAGCAAGCAGATCACATCTTCACCTCATATGTTCTCTCAAAGAGCTACTTCCAGTAGCTTTCTACACCAGTATTGTGCAACACTTAGAGTCTTCAAATGAAAACACTGTTATTCCACATGGTTTCTGATGCTTGACAAGTGGTAAGGTAAGTCTTCATGCTCCCTCCACATTCTACACTTTTAAATACCTCTGGTTTGGAAGGGAGACATGTTCTTGACCTTAATGTCCTGAAGATGATTTGAGTATGAGACAAATTAGTGCTAAATAACAGACACTGTGATGACTGTATTTAGGTAGTGGGAAATTTGGAGCTTTCAGCTAAATGCATTCATTCAGTATTAACCTAGCAATTCTGAAGCTGTTGGGAAAAAAAAACCTTAATTGAACTAGACTGAGAAAAGGTCACCAAAAAAGAAACAACAGTTCAACCAAAGAGTCATATCTCCTTATGGATAGCCTGGGTAAGCTAGACAACTCAAAACCATAAATAAAATAAGCTGGAAGCAAGGGAAAGAACAGAAAGCAACTTGACTCAGCTCAGAAGACTGTAATCATCACTTTAAAAACAACCAAATAATCCCTTTTCATTTTTTGCTATCATGCCATTTTAACTCTCTCAAACTAAAGATTTGCACATCTATTTCTTTTTCTTCTCATAGGGATTGATTTGCTGTTTCAGCATGGTCAATTAAAAATGTGCTTTACAAATTAAACAATTTTACAGAAAATAACGCAAAATACTTTGTATCTCCTATGATGAAGACCTGCCATTTCATTGCAGCAAATTCCATTTTCCTGGTCATCTCTGATGATGGAAGAGCCTCCTAGCAGCAACCTGTATTAGCTGTCACAGCAGAGTCCATCAGCTCTATCACAGCATTCCAGGCTGCAGTGGTACCCACCTGTGATTATTTACTAAGTGTTCTCAAGTGCTTTGAGTAAATACTCCTTCCCTATATAGGATCTGGTAGTTTTTCTTACTTTTATTTTTCCCCCTCTGTACACATAGGAAGAGAGTTCCACGCTGGACAATACAGAAAATGTAATGTTCAAATATAATTCCTCCATCAACACTCTACACCCTTTCAGCTACATCTGTCCCACAAGACAAAATATAACTCACTGTATCAACCTATTTTGTGTCTTTGCTATCTAAGTGCTAGGCTGCAGCTTTGTACTGTTTCTCTTCAAGACAGATGACACTACCCAGGGGCACTTTGTTGATGTGACAGCTGCTTGAAAAACCTTAGATCAATGTTTCAGACACCACAGACAGGGGAATAATTTCTTAGATGCATCTTGTTCCTTCAGTATTACAGTCAACTGTGGCCCCTGCCAAGTGACATACAATACCAAAGTTAGTGCTAACAAAAAAAAAACAACCCTAGGGAAGACTTCAAGACAATCTGAAATCATTTTGGTTCTGAAAGATCATTTTATCCTCTGATAAACAAGAGAAACCTCAGTACCAGCAGAGGCAGAGCCCCAGCACCCACCTCTCCCCACAAAAGGTGACACTCCATTAAATGCACATGAAATATATATGACCACTCAAATTAAAGGAAAAATGCACATACACTTACATTTGCGAGAAGTGACTCATGCTGCCATCTACCTCTCTTAAAAAGAACTGATGTGAAAATAACAAAGAGGGTCTTCTGGATACAGTCAATCTCCAAGTACCTACTCTTTGCTGCACGGTCAAGAAGCAGAGAAGATAGAATAATATTCTGGAACAGCTATAAAATCCAAAGCATGTAGGAAAACATCTTTAGTATAATAATAATAAAATATAAATGTATTTTATACATGGATACGTTCCTTAGAAATCTAGAGGTTCTCTCATAGAAAAATAAAACAAAAACCAACCACAAATTGAAATGGCTAAAATTTAGCCAAACATTCTTTGACTTACAAAAGAGATCTTTCATCTATGGCCCAATAAAACTCAAGAAATGGAACATATGCTACAGTAACATATTTTTGTTTTTCCAAGGAAAGAACAATATAACTACATTGGGAATGATACAAATAATGATCCTGCACTACTCGTTCAATGTACTGGTTCACAACCACATGCCATATGAATAAATGCATCAAATCCTGGTGTAAACCATGGTATCACAACAAAGAATAATTAATATCCATATATGCTGATATCTATTTGTATTCTACTAATTTGCTCAGAGGCTGTAGTAATATTCATTTTCCTTAACAATAAATTTATATCACAAATACATATGAAGAAACTCATTTTAAATGGATTTCTACCTCATTAAGTTCTTCTTAATGAGTCTGGGGATAGAGCTTTAGAATAAATGAACAGAAGGTATTTTAAATAAAATCAGTGAAGTTTAAATAAAAATAGCTCACACTTAACAGTACCCTACAGCTAACAAATGAGCTAGTTTACGCACTAGCCACCTAGTGTGATTTCATCATTTTTATAAAGGTTTGCTTTTGAAAGCAACCTCACAGAACACTGATGCAAAAGAGCATATTTTAATACAACTTTTGTGCAACAATGATGAGAATATATTGCCTCTTGCTGGGCAACGGTTAACTGCACTAAGCTTGTCTAATGACTATGGCCAAATAATAAAATTTAGTTTCTTACTACGCTACTTTTTTTTTTTTTTTTTTTTTTTAAATGTGGCTCTGAAAATGAAATCTTAGGTCTTTCACAGGAACTCTGAGAAGCTGAGTTCTGCACCAGCCCATGCTACCTCTATCAGAACTCACAAGAGTGAGGAGGGCAAAAGTCATCTACTCAGTGAGTCAGGACACAGAGTCAGATACCTGAGTGATCACAGAAGCAACAGCTGCAATACTTTAACTTCTCTTCAGATCTTAATTCTGATCCCTGGCTATACAAGTGTCCTTTGTTTAACTGTGTTATTTGTTTTTCCCTCTGCTTCCAAACAGTGTCACTAAGAAAAAAGACCTCTGATGTGAAACCTCAGTAAGTGGAATCCAAGCACTGCAGTTTGTAATGCAGCAACAAGCAGTCCGCCTACTGCTCATTACTGGGCTTTAGCCTTCATGCAGAAACCAAACAGTACGCTATTCCACAGCATGTAACACTACCCCACTAGAAAATAAGCTAAGCAGCATTTTTCTCATCCAAACAAGCCAACCAACCGACCAGCTTCCAGGTAACAGTAGGGTGTTTTTTATTTATTTATTTTTTTAAGTACGAGCTGTTAAAACGCTTTCTGTCCTAAAGCTACAGCCTCTGCACGTGGCTACCTGCCTCTCCGCAGAAACCACTGCCGGACCACAGCTCCTCACACACGCCAATGAGCCGGTACCCAGGCGCTGGGCTTTGTAACGCCCCAGCCGAGACGCCTAATCACCTCACTGCAGCCACTGCTCCCGTTAACCCGAAAAAGCAACGCGCGCTGCACCGTGACCCCGCCGCCGCCCCGCCCGTGCTCCGCGCCCGCCCCCACGCTGCTCCCTCCCGCGTGCTCTCAGTCCCATGGCGGCGGCGCGGCCGGTGCTGGCTCGGGCCTTACTGCAGCAGTGCCTGTTCGCTCGGCTGCAGGTGAAGCCGCCCGAGTACGGTGCGGAGGCTGAGTGGGAAGAGGTAACGTCCAGCGCGGCCGCCTCGCTGGGCGCGGTTTCGTCCCCTCCCTTAGCAGGGGGGCGGGCATGGCTGGGGACGCAGGGCAGAGCCTGGGGCTGCGTGGCTGCGGCCCGTTGGGCTTTGCGGATGGTACGGCAAAGGGACGGCGCTGCCCGCTGATTCTTACCGCAGATAGGAAGACCGATACGCGATCCTCGTGGTAACTCCCGTCAGGCTTCACTTCTGCCTTCTAGCGTCTGCAAAATCTGTAATTAGTTCCCTCTTATATTCATTCTGTAAGAGTTTTCAGTGTTTTTTTTCAGCTTGCCTGAGCGATAGGCGCACAGCTGCTGCCCCTCCCTGCGGGGTGAGTGGGAGAAGCGGCAGGTCAGAACGGAGGGAGATCGCTGCCAGTTACCATCATGGGCAAAACAGCTTTCACTCGGAGAATTTATATTAATTTATTCTCAATTAAATGTTTACTTAGTTTGAGTATTGAAAGGAAAAAAAATACTTAAATGTGTGGGAAAGATAGTCCTCCCTCTTCGGCAGGCTAAGCTTCAAGCACTGGCTGTGATCTGCACTCCTGAGTACACCCCTACCCCCATGCTGTCACCCCAGGTCACACTGCCAAGACCGGGGTACAGCCAACTGTAATCCACACAAGGCTTATCTCCTGCTCTTCCTCTTTTCCTGCCTATCAGAACAAGCCCTCCCAGGCTACAGGCCCTGTAGGAGAATAGCAGATTCTCCACAACATACCTTCTACTCCTCCCATGTTCTCTCTATGGGCTTTCTGCCCTCTCCTAAAAATGCTTTCACAGGGGTGCCACAGGTGCTGGCTGTCTGTTAAACTACCCAAACAGAGGCACATGTTTCGGTTTTTACATATAACAAGTCAATGTGTTAGAAGGTACTTATGCTGTGTAGATCTCTTACTTGAAGATTTCACAGAATCACAGAATTGTAGGGGTTGGAAGGGACCTCCTGAGATCATCGAGTCCAACCCCCTGATATTTAAATATCTTAACCAAAATTGTTGGAAAAGTAGTGGATAACATTGAGGAAATCACCATGAGGTTTGTCCAGTGTGAGCAGCAGGTATTTTTCAGACATGAAGCTTAATTGGTCCTTATGAATCTTTCCTGGATATCAGGGCTTATAAAGAGAAATCTATTGTAACAAGAGCTAATCACCCTGCAGCACAAAAAAATATAAAGAAAGTAAAAAAAAAATATATAATTATTGTTTCTTTAGTCCTTAATGGTTTTCATTAGAGGTCATTAAAAGGCATCATTGCTTCTGATGCTTTCCTGTAGGATAATGCTACTCTGTGTACCAATGAAAAATAAAGAAATATAGGCATGATAAATAAAGAAACTATTATTTATATAAATCAGTGTGGGTGTTCTGACCTGTAACAGCTAAAAAGTAGGTCCTCACCTTGAGAAACTTATAGTGAGCCATAAATTGTGCATCATGTAGGTGGCTTTGAAGAGCTTCCAAGCTTTAAGAGACCCCTGCAGGTACTTTGGGAACTCTGGAGTGGATGTTCTTTATCAGGAAAAAGGCTAGAAGTGTACTTTTTGTATGAGTCACTACTCTTCATTATGTTTTCACAACTGTAGCTTTATGACCTTCTGAGGATTACTAGGTCTTGTTTATGCAGAAATGTTGGTGAGATAGGATCCATTAAAAGTTTCTGTATACACAAAATACTTGAAAGGAAAAAAAGGAACTGTGTTTAAATCTAGAGGTAAATACAATGAGATTGAGTATTTCAAACTATAGGAGAAAAGAAATATCTATACTTAATGCAATGAAAACTGTCTCTCCCATACCTTATTTCTCTTGATTTATCTTCTGGTTAAGATACCAAATGGGGTAAAAAAAATACCTGGTACAGGTTGTTCAGTGACCTATGGTAGATTATGGAATTTCCCTTTGATGCAGCAGAATGGGTGAAACATGAATAACGCTTCTCACTGTTCAGTGAGCCTGAATGAAGATATCAAAGAATAATTTATATACGTTAGTCCCACAAACTTGCTTCCTACAGATTACAAAGCATCTCTGTTTTCATTATCAGTTGCATTACATTTTTCAGAAAAAGAACATCCAAAACATGCTGAGATAACGTTTTGTGAAATATATTTAGGTTTTGCTAATGGAATCCTGCATAGTTCAGATGAATGCATTTTGTAAAGAGGGTAGGAAGAGGACTTAGTCGTTTATCCTGCAGAGGAGCTAAAAAGCAGTGTGGCTAAGGCTTGCTACATGGCCTGAGGGACTGGGTACTTCAGCCCTTTGTGATACAGGTGTGCCTACTCTGATATTACTTAGGACAGTTATACAGTAAAAGCCAGTGTTGCAGAGTAACTTGATTTGCTGTTTTATTTATGTAGGCTTTTTACTGATAAAAAGAAATACACACAGCACAGCTGCCTGCCTTTCATTACGTAAGTTCTTTCCAGTGATTGTTTGCTTGTCAGCATGTTGCATTTGTAACTTCCTTATTTGTGTTATTTTGTTTGACATTTCATGGGCTAAATGTAGCTCTGATCAGCTAGGACACGTGAAATACCTGTGTAAGACCTAGGGACTGACATATGTTACCATTAGGGAAGCTCCTTAAATTCAGTTTTAAGTCTCCTACTCAGTTAAGAAAATTGAAAAGAAGAAAGTAACATATAACAGGTTGAGGCTGAAACATGATTGAACGTGTTGTAAATAAGTGTTCAAATATAGTTCTCAATCACAGTTGAAACCATGAGTTTCAACTTGGGAAACTAGATAGTCTCCATAGCATAGCTTCTAAACGTTCTAGAATATAATAACCATATGTATAATCAATGGATGTTAAGATGCTATAACCACAAAAAGAACAAGACAGTTAGGCAAAGTAAACTAAGATAACAAGAGAGAATAAATAGAAGGCTTAATGGAAGGCTTACCTGTATGCTATGCTCACCTACAAAAAACACCAAAAGTGGGGACCTCCAGACAAAATCCTTCCCCCTGGTAGTCAGCTCTTAAATAGGTCTAGGAGGGATGGAGCCAGGCTCCACCCCTTCCTGCAGCACAGGTGAATTGCCTTCAGCTGTGCTCCTCTGGCTGACTCATGGCTCGCCTCAGGTGATCAATCAGAGGTTCAGGCCGTGACTCAGCAGTTCCCATACAGCATATAATAAAAACAGAAACATTCTCAGCATTTACTTGCCTCTGAATTCAGATTTTTGCATTTCATATTTAATTGCTGTGAAACACTGTACGGTAACTGTTGAGTCATGGTCTGAACCACTGATTGAGCACCTGGGGAAAGGACTTGGTCAGGCAGGGGAGCACAGGTGAAGGTAATTCAGCTGTGTGACCAGAAGGGGTGGAGCCTGGCTGCACCTCTTTTAGACCCAATTTAAGGGCTGACTGCCACTGAGGAAGGGTCTCTGCAGATTTCTCTTTGGTGAAGTTCTTTCTGTGAGCCTGGACCTTTCTAGATGGGTGAGCACCTTTTCTTTTGTAATACTGTTTCATTTAAAATAGTCTCTTTGCTGTTCCATTCATGTGTTGCCCTTCTACTATGTTAATCCTTCTGAGCATAACAGATGTTGAAGCTGATACGTATAAAATTTTGTGACAGAAAAAGTATATTTTGAATTAAACATCAAATCATATAAGAGACTGAAAACTACGTTAGTTAATGCAATAGCTAATAATAATGATTTTTAGTTATCTGTTTTTAAAGTCCTAAATTTGGCTTTCTTTCCTGTTTTTCTCTTTTTAAATGAGTATTCTGCAGAATATTGTTACTTCTGTATGTAAAAATATTCAAAAACTTTCAGAAGTCTTAAGATTGGAGTAGTAGTTATCTGGGGGGGTGTGCATTATAGTGCAATTGTTTTTTTCTAAGTTAGTGTTTGTATACATGTAGTGTGAATGTGTTTGACCAACTTAATAATTTTTATTAATAGATACATGTGCATTAACATCCTGATGCTAGTCTGGTTCTGGAACTAATATTTAGCTAAGCAAGTAAGACTGTCTATCCTTTAGCAGCTTTTATTTCTTTCTGTCATTTGAATAGAGCCTTTGAAATGCTATTTGAAATGCCATAATGCCAATGCGTTTAGGGCATCCAATTTATTTCACTGTTTATGAAATATGACAATCATTTGGGAATGGAAACCTGTGTAATATTTTGTGGTGGTCAGAATGAGTTTTGTAAGGAGCAGTTTATAGCTTCTGAAAGAATCTCAGCATGTGACATTTTGGCTGTGAAGAGCATTCTTTTTTTCCATATGTTAGTAACTAGAAAAATAATTACAAAGATATAGCTCTCCTTACTCATTGCATTGAGTGTTTTGTTCAGTCTCCACAATAACAAAAGAATGAAATCTCATGTGTATAGTTTTTTTCTTTACTAAAAGCCTCTATCTTATAAAGAAAAGAATAAGTAAAAAAGGAAAGGAAAAGACAAAGGGTTGTGGTTTTGTGTGTTTTTTGTTGTTTATTTTAAAAAATACTCATATTTCTTATGTTTTTGTTTTTAAAACATTGAAAGTAAAGAATCCTTCCTGCTCCGATCTAATTTGCATCTCTTTGGTAGCATTTCATATTTTCTCTGTGCTGATGTTAATTTTCCTTCTAACAGGAATGGAAGGATGATTATTCTTAACAAAACAGCAGTGACAGGGTATGATTTTTTTTTTGTCAAGCTGTGTGTGCTTTCTATGTTTTCCTGAAGAGGTTAAATTGTTAACATATACTTGAACATGAAACATCGTTCTTGTTGGTTGTGTAGCCAAATAGCTCTATTTTCTTAATAAAGCACAGGTTGTCACACACATATTCTTTGTGAACTAAGCCACAGGTTGTCACACATGTATTCTTTGTGAACTAAGCCAGAGAGAAAAAAAAGTTAAAAGGAGTTGTTTTATGCTTTCTTGTTACTGCAGACCTAATCCTTTCCTCAAATGGCCAGTTCTTTCTAGTGGTCTCTTAAATTGCTAAGGAAGTGACATATCCTTTATCCCACACAAATCAAGGGAAAAGTCACACTTTGTCAAAAAGGTTTCATGGATGGATAACATTTTTGATAACTTTCTAGTATTCTGGACAACTTCATAACTGTTGGTCATCATATTTAAATTGGTTGTCGCATCTAAATGTTTAATTAACTGCTTTGTTAGAATTATCCTTTACTAGTTTACTTTTAACATCAAAATATAATTCTGTTCATTGACAAATCCCACAGTATTTGACATTTCATAGTTGTAAATAAAGCCAAGTTTCATACTGTATGTATGTAAACTATATGTAAATTATTTGATCTGTAAAAACAGTAATACTGTGCACGGTATATTACAACAAAGTGTGGCTTCACATGCAGCTAACAAATTGGCTTTATTGCATGGTAGCAGCACTGTGCAGGTAATCAGTTGATATCTCATAAACTTCTGTAAGTAAATTTGAAATCTGAAGCTATAGGGAATAAGTAAAACTAATCTTGGGAATTTTGTCATTGTAGTTTTGTCCCTTTCTGTATCAGTTTTAAGGATAAACCTGCATGGTAGACAGTGAGAAAAATTGATATTGTTTTCTCTAATCTTTTGTAGATCCAGAGAGGACTTGTTATCTACATATGCTTCTTCAAAGGTGCTGATGAGGATCTTATTCCAAAAATTGGTATGATATAATCTGTATGAATTCTTGTATTGTTTCAAAAAGAACTAAATGGTAGTGGCAGAAAAGGCAACAATCATTTAAATGAGAAGGCAAAAAAACATCATAGCATCATTCCCAACTAATCAGGTGGTTGAAAGAACAGCTTGATCAGTTATGTTTCATTTGACAGCTGTCCTTATCTCTTCTGACTGTCAGTTCATGATTCACCTGTTACAAGATCTGTTCACATTGAAAGTTCATGATGAAAACGCTCTAGGAAACAAAGCGGTGCACCTATTAATGGATGTATTACAAGTATCAAGCAGCATCTTCAGTCAAGGACAGAATTGAACTTAGAGAAGATGGTTTGCAGATAATTCATGGCTTTATTTAAGAAGTATTTTCATTTTGATCTCCCTACATGTGCTGGATGTTTAAAATTATAGCCAGTAGAGGGAGTTGGGTGGATAACTAACTGGTGTCCTTCCCATCTCATACTACATATTGTTAGCCTTTCTGAATCAGTAGTAGTAACAGCATTATCTGTAGTTCACTTGTTCTTCTTCACATGCACTTTTAACATTTACATTCATGTGGAACTGATGCTCCAAATAAGGTCAAACTCTAGTGATTTCTGTCTGCCTTCTTCTAGGGTAGTTTTAGCTTTTGTTGTTGCAGTTGGTTGGCTGCTTGCTTTGTTTTGTTAGTTTCTTTTACTTTTATTTAATTTGTTGTGCCTCTTTATCACTAGCAGTGGATCACTTGGAGAATTCAGTGATGTGTTCCACATAAAAGTGCCCTGTTTCTGTGGGTTGCTGACATGGTAGTTTCACAGAAGGTCATGTAACAATAGTCTATTTCAAGCTGCATGCTGGGACAAGCAGAAAGGCCTAGCAATGTGCAAGCACAGGTGTTATTGAAAATACTGAAAATAGCTCTTGTTCTTCAAGGGCACGGTCTTCCTGTGATGCTAAACTAAGATGAAATCTTTGGGTATATTTAAAACAGCATGAAATGAAAATCTTGTGCTTCTGAGAGTTTTATGAGACTCGAGAATAATCACTTTTTCAGCTTTGTGGCAGCTGGAATAGGCTGGAAAAAGAAAGTTCTGTTTGCTATTAGGAGATGCCATCTTCCCAAGTATCTGTTTTATGGAATATTTTTGTTCTTAATATGTTTTGATACTGTTTAAGTTAGTGTGTTTTTAATGGGTTTAGAGAGATGACTAGTATTCTCCCAGCTTTTAAGGAGTTGGAGGAAATTTTGGGGGAAGCATTTGATTGTTATAGAAACACTAGAAAATGTTATCAAACACAACATTTCTATCTGTAAGTTTACGCATAGCATTTAATGGACCAAATTGCATTTCTGACCTACCTGCTTACATTCCCTCTCAAAAGGCAGGCTGACACTTGCATGTCTTTGAGAGGGAGACTAAAGGGTGCTTACTCTGAGACCAAACTGCTGAGCCTAGGGCTTCAGCTGGATCAGTTCATTGTTGGATACTGCTGCCATCTATTCTGACCATAAAGAGAAGAAAGTCAGGACAGAAGTGTCTCCCAGTGTATTGAAGATGGCCTTATCTCATACAATGTAAGCTCCTGTGTAAATGTTGCCTGAGTATCAGGTAATTACTTCAGGGTCACTGGTTAGATCCTGGATTCCTCTGGGGAGCTCCAACTAGAATAAGCTGCAGGATTTCAAAGAGCAAACCATTGTCCCACCCACTGTAACTCTTTAGACATACTACATTGATATGAATATCCTTTGTGCTGTTCACAATACTCTGAAATCTTAACTGGATAATAGTATTTAATGACTGTCTGTTTTGTTTTGGTAACAGTCAGCTTTTTTTGCTTGAGTGACTAGTCTTATCTTAAAGTATCTTGTGGAATCTTGAATATTGTTTTATAATGGTATACTAGTTTTATAATGGTATATTAATTTTTATTTTATTTGCAGTCAATGTGCTGTTGAATGTTAAATTAAGTGAAAATGAAAATGGAGAGTACGTATCTGTCCTTGATTTACCAGGCAATGTGCTCATCATACCACAAGCTACGCTGGGTGGTAAACTGAAAGGAAGAAAGATGCAGTACCATGCAAACATTGAAAAAGAAAAAGGAATGGAACTTTATTCTCAGTTTGTGACTTTGTGTGAAAAGCAACTGGCTGCCAATGCCAAATGCATGGAAGCAGGTGTTCTTGTTAAACATGGCACATATGGAAACAGGCAGGTGTTAAAGCTGGATACAAATGGACCTTACACTCATCTAGTTGAATTCTGAAAAAATAAATACTATCACAGTTACAATACTGGCTGTCTTTTTTCTTTTCTAAGCATTAATATATTTAAATGATCTGGGAAGAACAATATAAGAAGGACATGCACTCATCTGTGCTGGTGTTATTAATCTCATTAAATAGAAGAATGCCTTAGACTGCTTAACAATAATGAGCATGTGTTTTTTGAACATATTCATCTGAAATATTCTTAAAATTGATCCAATTAATGTCTCATTTGGATGGGGTTTTTTGCCTGAATTTTAGTAGTAGGGTAGTGCATACAGTTGTTACTTCAAACTAATTACAGAAGTATTACATAAGTTGTAGTAAAGTACACTTAAGAAAGTGAAGATTATGGAATAAAGAGAATCACAGGGGTTGGATGAGATCTCTGAAGATCATCTAGTCTTATCTCTCTGCTAAAGCAGGTTCCTTAGAGTAGGTTGCACCGGAAAGCATCCAGGTGGATTTTGAATATCTCCGGAGAAGATGACTGCACAACTTCTCTGGGCAGCCTGTTCCAGTGCTCTGTCACTCTCAAAGTTAAGAAGGTTTTATTGTCATTTAGAAGTTGCTGTGTTCCAGTTTGTGCCCATTGCCCTTTCTCTTGTCTTTTGGCACCACTAAGAGCCAGGAGGAATGCTGTAGATGTAATTATTTTTTTTACCTGATTTCTTAGGTCAGACAGTTATTGTCTTTGTTTTTCATCTATTGAATACTATCTAGCTCATAAAGATACTGAAAGCAAAAATCCATTGAATTATTAGCCTCTCAGATGGTGGCTACTAAGTAACAAAGGCTTTTCTTCTCATCTAGTGTGTGTAGAGATAGGTCTTTCAGATGTACTGGGACTGAACATACCCTATGCAGGCATTGTGAGAAGAAATAGTGAGATACATCCAGAAACTGGAATTGAGGCAGAACCACTGTATTGCTTTGTGGAAGTTTGCACTCAATGTCCTCAGATGTGTTTCGATGGGCTGCTTGCTATAATTTGTCCTATGTCCTTGTTACCTTTGTCTTGTTGTCCATACAGTTATTTTCTAACAGGGCCTCAGGAAAAGGATTGGAATACTAAAATGTAGACATAACAAAAATTGTATGATGTATACTGCAATCTCATTGTTCTATCTGCCTGTATTATTTCCTTTTGACTCTTTATCTACTGGATCTGAAGCAGAGACTAGCTTTTCTTTCTTATATTCACAGTGTTAGCACGTTTGGGGTCTCAGTTCCAACTGACATCCTATGCAGTACTATGATCAACATTACTAACAGGCAGCATTAAGAAGATAAAGTGGGGAAAATCTGTGTTGTAAGGCAGTGAGAACAAAACATTACAATGTGGCAAATTGAAAACTGGTTCAAGTACATTCAACCTGAGTCAAGTTTCTCCTTTGTTGCTGCATAATTGTTCTATCAAGTCAGTAATTTTAAAGGTTTAAAAGTGAAATTAGACAATTATTTGCTTTTCAGTAATTATCCAGGATTCAATTTTTAAAAGATAAATTATTTTGGAAAAGATGTAAAACTTCATGCTTAGTGTTCATGCCAGCCTGTGCAATCTTAAATTGTGGTATTTACAAATATTCTGTCATTAACTTTATTTTTAATAAAATATAACTGTCTAATTTGCAAATTATACTATGAGGATCATTCTTTAGGTACAAAGCTCATAGTTTTCATAAGAGTAATAGTATTTTTCACATTAACATAATTTATGGTTAGTGACTATGAAATACTTAAGGACATTGATAATTCCAACTGTCAAGAATTCATAGTTGAAAATATCTACTCACATAAATGACCTAGAAATATTAGCTGGGTTCCAAACAAGATACTTATTTATTAATACTAACAGATAAAATGAGTTTTCTTTTTAGAGACATTTAAATAAAATTGTTTGGATATGAATAACTAATACTATTTTGTAATGATTTGTCTGCTTGCGAAAACCAATTTTATTTCTCCTATTGTGGGCCAAATCCTAAAAGGTGCTGAGTAACACCACTTCTCACTGACTGTACGGGAATTACAGTTATACAGTTTCTTTCAAGAATTGATCCTTTGAGCTAAAACACAAAGTCTGCAGAACAGTGTCTTTTTTTTCTGTCTCCAGAAAGATCTTCAGCAGCCTCACAATTCATTCTCTATACTTCAAGGACTACACAAACCCTGAGAGGAATGAACTTGAAAATATTTAGTGAATAACAGACTTCAGACCAAATTCCATTTTGAGCTGATGTGTCATATAAAGTATATAAATGTTTCTGTATTTCAGTAGTTCTTAGGAGATGACAGAAATCTTGAGTTTCTGTTATAAGGTGGTATCTTTGTGTATTATCTGCCAGTTTCTGATTTATTGTATCTCTCCTGGGACACTGATTTCTGCCATCTTCTGCCACAGCAATTGGCAGCTTGCTGCATGATGTGCCCTTTGTACTGCTTTATTTATGTCTACTATTGATTCATGATCCATTTACTAAAATAAGCTATTTCTAAATGTGATGGACCATACTGATGGAGAAATTGATTAAAATTATTTTTAAGCCAAATGCTCACTACTTTCTGACATGAGTATATGATTTAAACAGATGACGTGGCATTGCTTTAGTTTTTATTCTATGACTACGCGAAAGCTCAAATAACTCTGCTGTTCTATACTTAGACAATATCAGTTCTCTATGATGTTTAATATTCCATACTTCCTTGAATTAAACAATGAAATGAGTAATCATTATAGTATTCTACTGTGGCCTCCAATTCTATCATCACAGAGGAACTGTTCTGACAGGTTTTTATGACCTTGTTTGCAGTGTGCACACTCAGTATGGATAAAGTGAGCGTGCATGATCTATGGACTGTGCTCTCATAAAACTAGGGGTGCAATAGTTCATTTTTGAGTCAGCAGTATTCCTGCTTCCTTTCCATGTCTTTTCTGTAAATCTTCACCTCTATTGTTAAATACACTATGCAACATAAAAATATTAGTCCAGAATTGCAAGGTCATAAATGTCTATACTTTCTCTGAAACCTATTCCACAATAAGCTTGTCTTCACCAAACTACAGTAAACAGGCCCTTCTCTTTCTTTGAGTAGCCTTCAGCATTTTACCTGAATGCCTTAAACATGTGTCCCTGAATTGACCAACTCTGTTCTGGAGAACAGAGTGGCTGTAGAGATGTTCATCCACATTTGGAAATACAGTTTTTGATTTATACTCTTTGGTATAATTTGGTAAATGAGCATCTACAATTTGAGAATGTCACTCAGTGCTATGTGTCTCCTATTCTTTCTTAATCTCTTCAAGTTCCTTGAAAGCAACTCAGAATTTGGGGGTCCATACACTGTGATATAATGGCAAGAATTATGCTACTGGAAGTGTTTTGCAACTGCAGTTGAAAAGTAAATGGTATAGGTAGACAAGAGAACAAAACAGTAGTCAGAGTAGCCTGAATAATATGACTGTGCTGCACATTTTCTATTTAAATCAGCACTGTCCACTGTCAGTGTGTGGCTTTGGGCAAAGCAATTTTCTGCTCCACTTTTTCTGTGTATAAGACAGAGTGAACATGGAGACAAAAAAGATGTTTAAAAACCACTGCTTTTCTCCTCTTCTACTGAAGGCAAAAAAACCCACCCGTGTGTTCTTGATTTTGTTTCAGAATGCAGTATGCACTTACATCTTTCCATATTGTTGAAGCTGCCTAAGTTTGTCTTTCTTTACCATGTACCTCAGCTTCTCCCTTACAAATGTGTTTTGAGCTAACGTCCACAAAGCACACTGAGTACCTCAGCAAACTGAAATCACACAAATAACTCTATGCTATTTCAAAAATAGGAATTGCTTACGCAGCATGGAAATGCAGATAAATGACTTTCCTGTCACATTGTTCTAGCTCACACGTGTGTCATTACAGGGAATTTGACTGTTTTCTATTCACTGTGATTGTATTATTTGTTTAAGTGATGCAATATATGCCCTGTTACATTAATGTGCATTAATAGTGTGAGTGAAGAGGTTAGCTTGTTTAAATGTGCTTAGTTAGAAATGAAATTGCACAATAGTTTTTGGATTAACAATAAAAGCAAAAGAGTTCTGGGAGCCCTTAATAATCAGTTGGCAAACCATATTTAGAATATATTAATGTGCTGCTAATTCTTGTCACAATATTTTATCCAGGATTGTTTAGGTATTTAAAGTGTACTTAAAAATACACGTTATTCATTTTTAGTAATGAAGACTGATCTTTTATTCACATGTTGAACAGTTGGGATCTATGTGCCATGGTTGGACAGGGCATTTTTGTTCCTTATCTCACAGTTCCATTTTGGTAACTGTATGTAATGTTTTCTAGACCTGTATATTCCTATTATTTACATTTTAGGATTAAAAATAACACCAGGACTCTGTAATTGCTTGACAGGAATTAAGATTTTTGTGAATTTTATGCTAGTACAACAATCAACTATGTTGAGAATGTAAGCATTAAGTTAAACTACATATCACTTTAAATATTCAATCTGTTAAAAAAAAAGAAAAAAAAAAAACCAACCACCAAAAACAAAACAAAACAAAAAAAATAATACAGAGAAACTGAAGATTTATAACTAAGACTTTGCAAAAGCTGGGACACTTATACTGTGTTGGATTCTACTTGTCTCCAGAAAGCCCTTACTTGAGGGAAATAAGTATTTCACTTTGCAGATTAAAAGCACTAGCACAGTTAACTGTGTCAACTGAGGGAACAATACTAAACAACCATGGATGCTAAAGGCTACATCAGTTCTAGAAATAAGCATGTTATCTTGCTTAGAAGCAATTGCTTTTATTCAGATTAAAGCCAATTGTAAATTGCTAGTTGCTGATGGTGTAACTACGGAATCAAACCTTAACAGTGTGACTCTGTACTTGAAGAGGTAGTTAGATTGTGTAATTTAATATTATTGCAAAAAATAAAGGAAAGATAAATGTCTAAGCTTAAAATTAATCTGAGATATTCCTTACAAAGATCTTAAAATATAGTGTA